GTATACTATAATAAGATCCCATATACCCCATGTTCTATCTACTTAAGGGGTACTATGGGGCCTCAAGGCTTTCGAAGGTTGAGGCAGATCAAGAGTCTAGAGTCTTAGGTTGGGGCTCTAAATGGGTTGCAAGCAGGTGTTGGGTTGGGTAGATCCTTTGGCGCGTCAAGGATAAGACCGTCTCACAGGTGAGATCTGGGGTTCTTAGCGACAAGGTCCCAAACCCAGAAACCTACACAGTAGTTAGGTTTAGGGTTTTGGGGGTTTAGGGTTTATCTTCATCGGGAGAAAAACTGGCTTCAATTCGGCACCAGAGAGCGACCGGAAAATGGCAAGTATCATAAGTACTGTTCTGAACTTTTGTTCAGCTTGTTCAGTGCTATTGATGCTACTACTACTGTTATTCCTATTAGTCGTAAGGTTGTAACTGTTTTTTAAAGTGCTCAGAATTCCTGCTTTTCTTCTCGCTCCAAGTATGGTTTCTAGTTCTCATAGGACTCGCTATTTCGAGTAGTACTGGTATTTACATGGAAGATCTTTTTATACTTCGCCTTACTGGTCTTCACACGAACACCAGCTCTGAGCTCTTAGCCCTACCTACTCGATTCTGAATCCTCACCCTCGACCCTACTTGCCGGGTCAGGGGGACGTAGTAAGTAGGTTAATAACCCCTATAACCCATATAGGAACCCTGCCAAGTTATCCCTCTTGTTAACCTACTTGCTAAGTCCCTTCAACCCTAGACCCTAAACCCTAAACCCTTGAGTAGTTTCCATTTTCTTTTCCATTATTACCCTACTTAAAAATGTACAGTTTTCCCGAGTGTACCGGTACAGTATGCAGTTTCGAAGATTTGTTTTACGTAGCAGCGGCCTCAAGACCTCAAGAACTACCAATATTATCCCTTATAACCCTTATATTGGGGTTAGGGTTTATAGGGTTTAGGGTTTATAGGGTTAATAGGGATATGATACCCCAATAATGGAGGATCAAACAAAAAAGAACATGGAACATGAAATTGAAACTAATATATATATATATGCATATATACGGTTATATAAGGATTATTTGAGCCATAGAGTGAACTCCTTAAAGGGGGATGATACAGTGACTATTCTAGAGGTTTTAAATGGGATACAAGGAGTTTATACTATAACTCGTAGTGTTCAATCCGCCTAAAAATGAGCCCAGTGTCCAAGTCATTTTGCATTGTCCCTTCTCTTTGAGTGTCAACCCCATACCCTAAACCCCTCCAGCATTTTCGATTCTTAGACCCAAAGCCTTGTTTATCCCTGCATTATCCATCCCTGTGGCCCCTTTAAAGCGACCTCCAATGGGTTTATTTGGGCCGCCAAACATCTAAAAAACCCTAAGCCCTAAATAAGCCCTAACACGCCAAACCCTAAACCCTCTACGCTTGCAACCCTCAACCTGAAACCCTAGGCGCTAAACCCTAAACCATTAAAGCAAACTGAACTTAGAATTGGTTAGGATCCCAACTTCCTGCCTTTAAAAGTTTCAGATGTTGAAAGTTCAAAAAATGACACCCCCCCCCCCTCCCCACCGTGAGTAATCGTAATAAGCCCTAAACTACTCTGGCAGGGGAAGGGGCGGGGGAGGAGGAGGGGGAAACGGCACGTTCCCCTCGCCGAAGCGAATCATTTGGGTCTCTGATCATTCATTACCAAGTAAGCCTCGTAACATGGAAAATAGTCTATGATTATGGGCTACTGGCTTTCTAGCCCTCAACCCTGAACCCTATCAAACCCCATTAAACCTCTATAGCCCCCCTAAAGGGATTCTGGTTCCTGCCTACAACCCCAGTATCCGTTACATGCGGTCGGTACTAAAAATCCTGCATGACCCTTAGCACCTTATGCCTTGGGAAGTTTGATGATATCTCAGAATAGAGTCATGAAGGGTTTTTTGTGTCAACAGTATCCCTATAACATAAGCGCAATGAAATCCAGGTTGCCCGTCCATTTTCCATACCACTTTTCATTTGATGGGTTAGTAGGCGCTCAAACCCTGTATACCCTCTTAGCCCTGTATCATAGAAGGGGCTCATAGTTAGGGCTCGCACGCTCTTACAGTTACCCTACCCCCAAAACCCTAGGGCTGAAACCCCTGAACCCGCAAACCCCTAAACCCCCAAACCGTGAAACCCTTAGACCCCAAACAGTTAAACCCTTAAACACTGAACCTCTAGAACCCTAAACCCAAAACTATCGACAGTACCCTAACCAGGCAGGTGAGCGGAAGCGGGCTCAGGCACGCTTGGCTGTACAGCAGGCCTGGCTCTCGTAGACATTGACTCCTTCCTTCCAAAACTGGGAGAGACTCCTAAGGGTCTGTTTGTGAATTGGGGTTTAGGGGTTTAGGGGTTCAGGCGTTTAGGGTGTAAAAGGGAAGAATGAGGGTCCCTTGAAGGGGAATACAGGGGGTCCAGTGTAGGCTTTAAGGTTAAGGGAATGGACAAGAACATGGAAAATGCGATGCTGCTAGGGCTTTTATTACGGCTGCAAAGGGAACATTTGGGGTTTAGTAGGTTTTGGGTGTTGTTTTATTCCCACATAACACTTGCGTCTAGTACTATGATTACCTTGGGGAGAGCAGTGGTTCTTGTTACATATTCAGACTTCTTCGGCATTGTGGATTAGTTTCAGGCTTGAACAACTCACCCTAAAGCACGGAAGCCGACAGAGGTTCAGAAGGAGCTTGCCGTCCTGAAAGGCAAGGGAGAGTATGGGGCCCGGCGTCTGGTTAAGGTTACACTACAAGGTTCCTGAAAATAATTTTCAATTTTTGCTACCTAGAATCCTAATATTTAGCTGAAATTATAATTTCTACTGGGGTTCCAAATCCCTTAGAGTACAGTTGAGGGTATAGATGGCCGGTGTTCAGAGCTTCTCTGGAGCAATTGAGATCGTTCTTGTTGAGGGCATTCGGTTGTAAGCATTCTTCCAACATGGGTCGGTGGGACTTTTCAATGTTGAGGGGCTGTTGAAAAAGGGGATGGGCTTAGGATGTCAGGCATGTCAGGTTTCTTTGAGTTAGCAAGGTCGAACAAATGGCGGTTTTCAAAACGCTGAGAGGCGAAGCAGGCATGCTTGAACTGTGGCCTACATAGTCCACGAGGCATTGAGCTTCGGAAGTTCCCTAAACTTCACACGGTGATGGGAAACCATTTGAGCTCTAGCTGGTGTTCTATCTGACATGCTTCAGAACCAGGATCCTCTAGGCAATATCTTACAGCCTACGTACAGGTACATTAAGGTTCAAACATGGTTGGCTGGGGTAACACTGAAGTGACACCGCCTCAATCTGCATTTAGGGCTTAGGGTTTAGGGTGTTGGGTTTCTGGTTTGGGGTTCGTATGATGGATGGAGGCAAGCTTTTGCACCACCACCGAATTTAGCCCAAAGTCCGGGGCATTACACATCCTGGGAATGCTTGGCGTGTCGTCTCGTCTGGCCCATGCGGGGCTGTTTCGAAGTCGCGGTCCGTTTTTGGAAGTGCTTACAATTACTGGTTATAAGGCATAACAGCTTTTGAAGAACACCATTCTGCCCAAAAAGCAGCTGTCATCTAGCCTGAGGCGTTTCAATCCGGAGCGATTCGCCAATCAGAGCCGCCGCAAGTTTTTGGAACAGAGGCTTGGGGTCTAGGGTTTCGGGTGACTGGTCCTTAAGATACGCATGGGGCGTTTAGCCCTACTTCGGGCCGGGTTGCTGCATCAACTAGAAAGGACGTGCTGAGATATGACCTGTAGTAGACATCCTCAAAACAGCGATAGTGGCCTTAGCAGCAATGACAGGAACACGTATACTAGAAAAAACGATGATTCAACGATGGTATGTGGAAGCCCGCCTAAAAATGTGACTGACTGAGCAGGCAAGAGCAGCATATGGTAGGTGGTCAACATTAAGATCCCTTGTGGGGTACCGATTTATTCGGGTCGCATGAAAATGGGGACCCAACAAGGGAACAACATTTTGACAACCGTAAGCCGTGTTCCCTAGATTCTATCTTTCTATATACCCATTGTTCCCTTTTTTTAATGGACCAGAGGTGTGACAACTCTCCATAGTTCTCAGGGTAGACCATACTTTTGATAACCCCTCCTGTCAAGCTAGGAGCGGACTGCGAGGTTTTAGGGTATCGGCTGCAAGCGCATTTCGTCGTCAGCGTTTTCCATAGTGCCTGGGACTTTTTTTGACCCCAACATCTTGAATGCTAGTATGATGGGCCACAACCCTAAAAACCCTAAACCCCTAAACCGCTGTCTTATGTGCACTGCTGCATTCGAATTTTTGTTGGGAGACCATAACCCACACCCTTAAGTAAGTGGTATCGTGTGAGTTTTGGTTATCAGAAGATTTGGTTCTTTGGTCCAGCCGGCTTAGCCGCTTAGCGGCTAGAAGGGGTAGCGAAGGCCATAGTTTTCTATTGAGACATGTGCTCATACCAGCTAGGCTCCGATCAGTGCATATATGGAGTGTCCATTTGAATAGAGTTCGATATAAGGGGGTAAAGCCCTCCAGCTGAAAAAACAAGATTGTATCTTCCCCTGGGTTATAGTTTGTTATAACAGGACTGTCATCTTATGTGGTTCAACCACCCTAAACCCTGAACGCTAAACCCTAAAAGAAAGCCATAGATGATATGGTTCGTGCCTGGCCCGGCGTAACCTCGTCTAACCATTCAACTTCTAGCTGAATGCTCAAATGCCAGTTGTTTCTTTTTCAAGAGATCCTTGTATATTTGCCTATGTTTCCCCCCTTAAACCGCGCAAAGATCCAGATACACTAATCCTCAAACCCTTATTCTCAATCCTCAATTGCAAGACCCTAAGCCTTGAACCCTAGACCCTGAATCCTAAAGCCTAAACCCTAAATCCTAATGCCTAAACCCTATAAATCCTTACCAGTTCTGAGAACCTTAGCCTTAAACCCTAGACCCTGAAGCCTAAAGTCTAAACCCTATAAATCCTTACCAATTTCTTAGACCCTAATCCCTAAACCCTAAACCAAGAATTCCAAAACCCTAGATCCTAGATGCTGAACCCTAAATCCTACGTCTCTGGTAGGCTGGAAGAAATGACCCGGTCTGCTGAGCAGAGTGGGCGCAGGCATTCTGTGTTTAGAGTTTACGGTTTAGGGGTTTAAGAATTATGGGGTTTAGGGGTTTAAGATTTATAGGGTTTAGGGGTTTGAGATTTATAGGGTTTAGGGGTTTAGGGTGTAGAGTTTAAGGCTTATATAGGGCTTGAGAAATTAGAATGGTAGGTCTTAGGCTCCAAGTACCCAATGATTCAGTACTTAGGGTTTGGGTAATAGTTGAGATCCCTGTAGAGAGCTAGGTTCTGTGGTTTGGGAAAGTCAGTGGTCACAGTTGGCTGTGTCATTGTTGAAAATTGTCACAAGTTGTCATTTTCAAATACACCAAAACCTGACCAGCTTATTATATATATATATATATAGATATTTCATAAGATCTTATACTTTCCAGTACCCCAATAGGGAACCAGCTTTATGCCCTCAAATGTTCAAAGCCCTGCGCGCTTAAGCCCTAAACTTGTATCATCCTCGGAAATCCGCGCAATTCCTCAAAGATCCCCTCGTGCCCGAAGTCCTTCGAGCCCCATGCCCCAAGCCCGACCCCAAACCTTAGGATTCAGGGTTTAGGGTCTTATTGAACCCAAAATCCTTAGCCTCTTAATCCTTAGCCCTAGATTGGAAGACTTACCCTAAACCCTATACCCTACACCTCCAGGCAGGGTAAGCTGCAGGATCAGCTGGATACGCTTCGCACGGCTCTCGGTTTCTCTCCTTCCTTCAAGGTCTACACTGCCAGAAATTCGGAAACTAACATGGAAAACCCAAAATTTTGGGCCCTATGAAGACTACAGTCCTTCTAAAAGGGGATTACATGGGTTTCCATGTTAGCTTGGGGGAGTCTAGGCGCCTGACTACGATGGACTTTGGGCCCAAATTCGTTCCTGTATTGATACCTTGGGCCATATCGCATTTGGGTAGTTGGACCCTTGGGGCTTGTTCTCAGGAATGTTTACCAAGAAGTGGGTTAAGCTGAATCCAAGACTATGGAAAATTAGGGGAAGTCGGTCCTGACTCCTGGCAACCAGTTTCCCAGGCAATGAGGGTTGAGTATTCAAAGTTTTCAGGTCTTATATGGTTCAGGATTCCAGTTGCTGCCCACGGGTTTAGGGTTTAGGGATTGAACTTACCATCGAATTGCATCGGACAGCATTGGCCTGCGGATAAGACCGCAAGCCCAAGCCATGATTGCTGACGGCAGAAATCTGACACCACTCTATTCCCTACTAACCCCCAGTAGGATATAGGGCACTAGGGTTTGAGACGGAAGCTTGTTCGCTTCAAGCAAGGGACCGCGGTCCGTACTATGGATTTAAGAGGCCATGGACGGCTGCAAGTTGGGCTGCGCTGGGATGCCCGATAGTTGGGCTTCAGCAATTTTTCCTAGGAGATTTTGCTGGCTAATGCCGGAAGACCTGCACTAGCCTGCAATGTTGCGTCCTACAGCCCAAAACCTTCGCTGTAAACCCATGACACCATAAAATCCCAGAAAAACCCGCAGAGGTAAGTCCTACACCGCAGCTCAGCCCCAAACGCTCCAAGGCCAGGAGGAGGCCAAGCTGGAGGCAAAGCAGGACACCCCCTGTTCCTTGTGTGGCTTTTGGTAATGCAGGAATGGAAAAGAAAATGGATACTATTACAAAAGGTTATATAGGGACTACTATAAGGATCCATTCCTGGATTCCTAGCTGACCAAAGGCCAGTTGCTTCAGGAACCTGAGAACTCGTCCTCGAAATTGCCCTTGTGGTTGACACACTGGATTAGATTCATTGTGAAGACTCGCTGTTACTAGTTTCTTATTTCTTGGTGTTGGAATTGCTTTCGCTGTTAATCGCTGTCACAGGAGAGCTTGAACAAGGGCTTGGCCGAGCGAGCGGTGCGCTTCACAGCAGAACAGCGGGAGGACGGTCCAGCGTGCAATTACAAGAGTTGTGGTGGTCGGTGATGCTGTTGGGTGTGGTGATGGTTGTAGCAGTATTAAAAACATCATGGTGGAAGTGGTAGCTGTAGTATTCGCCATGGTCCTGGTCCTGGTCCTGCTGCTGCTGCTGCTGCTGCTGCTGCTGTCGCTGGCAGCGGCAGCGGCGGGGCGGCGGCGGTGGCGGTGGCGGAGGCGGCGGCGGTGGCGGTGGTGGTGCAGTGACGAAATCAGGAACGACAGCGGTGACTCCTATAGAAGCGAAAGCAGTTGTAGCAAGCTGTTTTAGCAAGTAGGATGGCAACCCCCCAAAGTAGGTTATATCTTCGAATGTGTTTCTGTCTATGGCACTCACATCCCCGGCCTTCACCGGCGATGCGCATCTGGGTAGACCCCCGGTACGGGCTGTTTGGTACATCCAACAGAATCCTTTGACTGCAATATTGCACCCAGAGGGTTCTTATTCGCGGGGGGGTGGGGTCAACCCTGAGGGTAGGGTTCACGGTTTAGGGTTTAATTATTCCCTGAACTCTGGAGACTGCATCCTTGTTACCCCCTTCCCTGAGATGGTCAACACCACCCAGCCCCTCAACGTCGAACACTCCCGAAGTCGCCCGCATGTATTCGGGGCCTTTTTTCGCATTCAGGGTGGACAGGGGTGCTGAACCCCTAGACCCTAAACCCTGAACCCTGAACCAAGTCACCAGAAAGGAGTTTGAGCGCGTCAAGCTAGCCACGGAGAAGCTCACGGCTTCCAGCGGCGATGAGCTGCGGCAGCTGGAACATCAGGCGAACCCTGATTTTGTGGAGGGATCCTGTAGAGGGATGTATCTATATGCGTTCACACTATGTGGTGTACACGATGTGGCATCGTATGTGGATTGAGACATCACAGGATTTAACAAACAATACCTATGTCTCTACATAGACGCACGCAGGCATTTCATTTGGGAAGAATGCGGCAGTTATGTGCAGGCCATATGGGACTGGACTACATCGGAACTCTAGGAGTGCCCATGTATGCGTTCCTCTTGTAACATGGCCCCCTGGCCCCCTAGGGTCAAACCCGGAGGCCTTAAACCCTGAGATAGCCCCGAGGATCAGATCGTGAATCCCCAGCTCTAACGTAGTGTGGGCTCCTAGGGTGCGACAGGAGCAGCGGCCCACACCTGTAGCAGTTACCAGGGGGGGTAGCCACGAGGCTCATACATGTCTCGTCTTGGCTCTAAAGCCCTGAACAGGGCTAGGTTTGAACATGTTTTTATTCGTTACCGCTAACCTGACCCCTATGTAATCCCCATTAAGCCACACAGATGACATTGAAGGGCTACCTACTTGGAATGTAGTTTCCATGTTCTTGACCATTCCCTGATATACCCCTCAATAATTCCCATCTAGATTGCAGAGTTTTAATGGCGTGCACGAGGTTCGCGCTGTACGCTGCAGCCCCAGCATGGAATCCAATCGTATGGTTGGGGCTTCGGGGGTTTAAATTGAAAGTCTAGGGTTTGGGGTGTATGGGGCTTACGGTTTGAGGGTGTAGGCCGTCCGATCATATGTTTGAGGTTTCAGGGCTTTCAGGCTTTAGGATTTGGGGCCCGGGGCTTGGAGTTGAGATGTAGGAGGTCATTAGGGTCTTTGTGCGCTTGGGGAGGGATTTTGACATGTTGCCTTTTCTTTTACGGGTTCAGGGTTTAGGGTTTAGGGTATGGGTTCCGCGGTAGGGCTGGTTGTGCCTTTAAGAACACGAGCAAGTGTGAGTTCAATCCACCACACGGAACCTAAAACCTTCAGTTAAGGGATATTACTGGTCCTGAAACCACACAAGGGAAAACTTCAAGTGAAGTTCCAGGTATACCCCTGCATTAAGACAGATCGAGTTTGGGGCTGTATGAGTGTCATTGCGGATCACCACTTACTGCGTCATCCAACCCGAACTTGAGTTTGAAGCGCATCCGCTACTCCGTCAACTACCTATCACATGCAGCGCAAGCGCAGCATCCTATAGTCCCACTGGCAGTCTATCTTTATGGTTTGAGGAAGCACCCATCAGTACCACCCCTGGCAACAACCGCCAATCAGCCTCCATTTTCCTAAAGCTCACCTGAGTAGACGGTTCTTCCTCCTCGTGCTTAGTCGGCATTGGGGGACTAGCTCCCAATAGTATTCCCGATGCACTTGATGCCTTTAAGAACTCTTTGAAAGGATTGCAACGCGGACTCCAAACTAGGAACCCTCAGAACATAGTAGGAATACAGTAGGAATGCAAGGACCCTGGCAGGTATATTCCGACTATATTCCAACTATATTCTTGGGATTCCCCGTTTTGGGGGCCATTCCCTAAACCCTAAACCCTAAAAAAACTAAACCCTAAACCCTAAACCCTACACCGCCCAGGTGCAGAGCGTATCCAAGCAGAAGGTGACCAGCGAGATGCCACTGCACGCAAGGGCCACTTGCAGCAGCGCGTCATGGAGCTCAACGAGGTGCAAAGGGAGGAGCAGTACTTGGACTTGTACCCCCCAGAACTGGTAAAATCCCAAATAGTAGCCAACAGGCTGTTCTACATACTTGTGCGGCTTCGGTTTTCGTAGCAATGTAAAGTGGGAAGGCAACGGGGAGCGCTGAGGCCTGTTTGATTTGGTCTTGCATGCTTGATGCTAGATCCCAAAGGGTCCATGCAGCTATATAGTATATACTGGGGCCTTAAAGTAGCTATATAGGAACCACTTTGGGCCCTAACTATATACTATACTATATACCTACATGGACCCTTTGGGGATTGCACCTGTAAACCAGACAAGGGAAGTTCAAGCTGCACAGTTTGGCATGGAATGCCTGACTGATATGAGCCATAGTCTAAGCTCCTGACAGCGGTTATACTTACTTCTTAGAGGGATCATATAAGGGATCATATAGGGACTACTATAGGGATTCTTCAGGGGAATACTAGGAGTTTAGACTGTGACCCCTGCAATTCCCTATATAATCGCAGTCCATGTCATTTTCCAGTTTTGTCCATTCGATTCTCCATTATTGGTTCATATCCTGAAGACCCAGGCCTATGGCTCATATAACCCTAGATCTAAGTCCTAAACCCAAAACACTAAGTCCTAAACCCTAAACCCCATATCCTGAAGATCAAAGCCGTTCCAGGCTGAGACGTCTGCGCGGGCCTCGCTTGATCGCGGCATGGTGCTCAAGGAGGAGAAAACCAAGGAGCTCTGAATGAATCCACTTAAGGGTGTAGGGTTTACGTAGGTATATACCTACCCCTAGTACATTCGTAAAATCAAACCGTCTTGGGTGAGGTTCAGGCATATACCTACCCCTATAGTACTTCACAAAATCCGACAGTCTGGGGTGTTTTGGGGTTGGAGAAAACTGGGTTGCTGTTAAGGAACTTAGATTAAGTTACCATAATGGGTATATATGGTAAATCATAGGGTTTCCCCAATATAGTAACTTAGATTAAGTTCCTTAACAGCAACCCACCCAGAAAAACCAAGGAGCTCGTGCGGATGCGAAGCTCCATTGACAGCCGTGCGGACGAGAAGCAGCAGCTGCAGCAGGAGCGGCAGCAGCTGATCAATATCATCCAGGATTCTGGGTTGCTGTTAAGGAACCTAATTTAAGTTACTACATTGGAGAAACCCTATTATTTACTATATATACCCATTATGGTAACTTAATTTAAGTTCCTTAACAGCAACCCAGGATTTCACAGCCACGGGGCATCAACTTGAGAAGGACAGGGAGATGGCCCAGGTGTGTACAAATCTAGCAGAGGCCTGCCCAGGGGTGTATGGCCGTGTTGTGGATCTCTGCAAGCCCTCTCAGAAGCGGCTGCATGTGGCTGTGAATGTTGCACTTACACGCTACCTGGATGCAGTCATTGTGGACACCAGCGACACGGCCCGGAAATGTTTTTGGGCGGCAATTCGAACAAATATTGATTCCGCCAGTTATTTTGGAAGGGGGCTGTTGCATAGATGGTTTTGGGTGAGGCTGCTGCAGTTCCGTCCGGTAAGGACAAAAGAAGTACACCCTTAATGCAGATTTCCCCACACGATATTTAGCTACCAGAAGAGAAATGATGAATGAACCCAGGTGTCCGCTACCTGAAAGAGCGCATGCTGCCTCCCATGACCTTTTTGCCAATGGCCGACCTTCGCGTCTCTGGTCTAGACCCTCGCCTTCAAAGCCTCGTCCACAGCCAGAAAGGAGCTGAAGGGCAATGGTAGCTAGCAGAGTCCCAATGTGGGCGCTCTTGTTTGACATGCCCTCATACAATCTAAAGCGCCTACGCCCAGCCGTGCAGGCGGCGTTACACATACAGGGCCTCTTACTAGAAATGTACAACATCGGGGGATCCGCCCTGAACAGGATTGCGGCTGGCGCTGAACTGCATTGCCTTCGATGAGACTTTTGCCCGAGCTTTTGACTTCATGCTCGGAGACGTCGTTGTGGTTGAAGCCTCAGCAGCCAGTGCTGGACAACAGCTTACACTCAGCATGCCTTGCGATACCATGCCGGGTCCGAATACGGAAGATTCCAAGCGTGGGAGGGTTTGCAGGAGATGCTTCGGCAACTCAGCGTAAAACAAAAACTGGGGAACAGCTTCCGAAGCTAACGTTATTTGTTTTCTTAGTTTTTTTCACAACAGTGGCACCTTTCTTGATCGTGTGGATGCACAGAGTTTGAGCGGATTCGAGGCCTCCTGGGGACATTCTGACAGTCACATCGAGTCATAGAGGTGAGTTCAAAAATCGCATGCTACTGAGTTGTAGGGTCCCAGGGACAACAGATTGGTGACCGCCGCTCTCACCCCCACAGGCAAGCCGTTGGGGAGGCTTGGGCGGTCTGATTTCGGTGACCAGCCCAGGCAAGAAAAGAAGGATGTAGGTCTATGAACCCAAGGAGCTAGATAAACGACAATTTTTATGGTCTCATGGGAGTACAGTAAAGGCCAAAGCTCAAGCCCAGAACCCCAACCTCCAAACCATCCCGCCCTCAATCCTCAACCCTACCCCTGGGCTTAGGGTTTGGGGGTTTGGGTTTAGGGCTGGGGTTCAGGTATTAGGGTTTGGGTTTAGGGCTTTGCGGGCTTAGGGTTTAAGGGTTTTGGTCTAGGTTTTAAAATAGGGTTTAGGGTGGGTACCCCTGTATCCCCTACGGTGGATGGAGGAAATCTTGCGCCACTTAGTATGCGAAAAGTGATGTGACTACGGTTATTGGGGCTATAGCTTAACTTAGCCCTAAACGAACTTAATGGACATAGGAGAGAATCTGGAGGCGGGTAGGGGAACCATTGAAATCTAACCTCTAGTCCATTAAAGAACCTCTAAAAGCTCTAAAGCACCAAACCCCTAAAATCCTAAACCCCAATCTGTAGCCCCTAAATCCTGAAGCCTCGAAACCCCTAAATCCATAAACCCCACACCCTAAATCCTCGAACCCTAAATCCTCAACCCAGACTCCCTGACCCAGGAATTCCAAATGTATAAAACCCTAAACTTAGGTGGACCCCCCACCCAGTAATAGTGACTATAGGGGATAATAGGGATTAAATTAGGGTCCTCTTATATTCCTATTATACCACTATTACAGGGTGGGGGGTCCTCCCAACCCTAAACTATCAAACCGTCAAGGCCGATACCATGGCGGACGGCAGACGCTTGGCCTTTGAAGAAGCGCGGAAGCTGGGCGTCAGCTGCAAGGCCTGGGGCTTGGAAACCCAGGGACCAGGGGTTTAGGGTTTAGGGTTTGGGGTTTAGGGTTTGGGGTTTAGGGTTTAGGGTTTGGCCTTCTTGGTTAGCTGGGGATCAAGGAATGGAAAAGAACATGGGAACTACTATAGGGCGTTTAGGGCTTAGGGTTTAGGGCGGGAAGGAAGGAATGGAAAAGAGAATGGAGACGACTAATAAGGATCCATTCCTCCAGTCCTAGCTAACCAAAGGCCAGATTATCAGATCTATTCTTGTGTTTAACTTATGTTGGTACTGTCATTAGTATGAAGCGTTTTTTTTTTCATTGACGCTACTGCCACTGCTGCTTCTGCCGTTGCTACTGCCTCGATGTGAGCTGTACTCTAAACTCCTAGCATCCCCCTTAATATGGCCTACAATGGTCTCCCCTTTAATGAGCCCTATAATGCTCTCCTATATAATTTCGCATGTAACCGCCTTTATGGAGTTTAGACTATAGCTCGTATGCTTCAGGTTGTGACGCTTGCGGGCGAGGCTATCGCCAAGAATGGCAACCTGTCGGCCAGGGCCTCGCCATGACGAGACATTGCTGATATGTACCAGCAACATGAAAGACCTTGTGTAAAGTATACATGTAGGTATGTAGGCATATATAGGCAATGCGGCATGCAGGTAGGTAGCTAGGTATGTAGGTGTAAACATGCTTCCTGTCTGACTGAGAGTGTGCTTGTGCCTTGTCCAGAGACACATCAATCATATACATATACAATGACGTACACATGTGCAGAAGCTGTTTTATGAGTGTTTGACGGATGATGAGTTCCGTGGCTTCCAGATCGGCTGGATAGTTGTGATATCACCTGTACCATGAGCCCTACACTGGCTTTTGGTTAGCTAGGAATGAAGGAATGGACCCTTACAGTAGTCCTGCTATAACCCATTGTAGTACTTTCCATCTTCTTGTCCATTCCTCCATTGCCACCCTTAACCCTAAGCCCTATAATTAGTAGTTTCCATGTTATTTTCCATTCCTTCATCCCCAGCTAACCAAAGGCAAGTACAAAGCTGGAGCGCATGCACCTTGGGCTATAGTCCCCCTTAAGTCTAGATAGAATATAGCTTTGAGTATACTTTGATAAGATCCGCATATACCCCATATTCCATCTACTTAAGGGGGACTATGTAGTCAGATCCGTTCTGCATGCAGCACCCCAAGAGACCAGTCCCCTTGACGTGAAAAGACACGGGGGTTTCCCAAAACTAGGGTTACCCTTTATAGGGGTCCCAATAATAAGGACTACAGAATTTTGGGCTCTATATTGGGATCCCCCTATTTACCACACACTTCTAGCGCAACACTGTTTGGGCTAGAGTTAGCAGCTCATGCAGCTTCTTACATATGCAGGCCTGTGGATATTGCTCTAAAACCTTCAGCATCACGTTGACATGCGCCCCGTACAATTGAGTTTCTCAAGAACCAGAACCCCTTGTTGTGATTCCCCAGTATTTACGATTTAGGAGGCGGACCCCGACCTTGAGCCCTACCCACCTCCTAAGCGCACGGCTTCGTTCTTCATAAGGTCAATTCAGACGCTACGCAAGAAGGAGCCACTCGCTTCGACTTGACGGAAGTTGAGGCCATGCGAATAGGGGTCACATGTAAATATTGGTCACTTGAAGGGGAAGGGTTGGCAAGAAGAGGCTGCTGCTAGCATGCAGGGACTCTTAGGGTGATGTTGTAAAGTTGATGTTTGGGTCCCAAACAAGAAGGCAACTTCCATCATGCAGAACTGCAAGAAACATCAATTCAGTTGACGTGGGGATCTGTGCTTTGAGCGACCATCGCTGAAGCCTTATTCGAATACGGGCCCCAACAACTTTGCAAGAGCATGCCGCAGGGCGTGGAGGGTTCAGGGTTCAGGGTTACCCTAAACCCTTACACCGCTTATACTTTGGCCAGGTTAGGGGCGCCAAGTCGGCTCCCCGAACACAATCTTGCTGCCTGCTTTCTGGGGTTGGTCAGTGCGGGCTAAGCCCTGGGCCCCACACCAGAAATCCCAAGAACAAAGACAAAAGAAGCTCTTAGGCCTGAAGTCCTAACCCTTAGAGGATCTAAACCCTAAGAACCCAACCCCTATAACCCCTAAGATCCTGAAATCCATCAAACTCCTAGGCCCTTAGCCCGAAAGCTGGACTGCCAGGCAACAAGGTCTCGTCTGGAGGTGCTTGACAGGCGACTTTACGAGCGCCTAGGCTTATATGGGCCCTGGAGGTTTAGGGTTTAGGGTTTAGAGGATTCCGAAAATTAGGGGTACCATCATCGGTGTCCTTATAAGAGGTTAGGTCAATCTCTATTGCAGTAATAGCCCATAGATATGGAGTGAATAGGGCCTGAATACCTACAATAGTCCCTTGTGGTACTCATTGCTGGGTGGGGGATTGACCCAACTAACAGGGGCCATACTTTTTTGGGGGTCTAGCTTGGGATCCCCCTGTTGAACTGCGACGCTTGTGTTTGTGGGTTCCTTGGTGTTCCCGAAAAATGGGGGTCCGTTCTTGCAGTAGGGATTATGAAGATTGAGGAGGGATGTAGGTACGACCCAAAATACAACCCTAAACCCTAACCCCACATCTGCACTTGAAGCACTGACATCCCTCCAGCCACGTCAGAACTTTGGGATACCTCTTTCAAAGGCGACTTCGAACTTGTAACAACGAGCCATTCAATAGCCCAGCCCTGGAATCTTAAACCCGAAGCTCTAGGCTCCACGCCCAAAACCCCAACCTCATACCCCCCAAACCCCAAACCCCAAACCCTCACCTCGAAGCCCAGACTCTAAACCTTCACTTCAAAGCCCACAGCCCCCAAAATGTACACAGGGTCCTGAGTGCCCTTGTGAGTTTAGGATTCACTCCTTGGACTCTTCCGGGGGGGCCGATGTTGCAACCTTGCTGCAATGCAGCTTCCCTTCCTGGGGGTTAGTGGGGAACAAGCGTAATTATACGGAATATAGGGATTATATAGTCGTGATTGTTTTCTATTTTATTCTCTGATAAGATCCAGTAAGTTCCAGGGGGGACGAACACAAGGGATCATGGGGTGTATGGCGTTGCTCCGCATTTTTTCAGGCTTTCATGCGGCCTTATAGTGATGTTTTCTAGATGTGTAGCTGAGCCTGGGTTTCTTGGGGCAATGAGGGGTTTCAGAAGCTTAGGCAAGCTTCGGGGTCCTGTGCTGGATGGGGTTGAGGGCTTTCAGAGACTGAATTTGGGAAGCTCGATGTGAAGCCCAAACCCTACACCCTAAACCGGGGTAGGCTGGGGCGGATGTTGTGGCATCGTTTCGGGATGTCTAGGGTTGAGGGTCTATCCTGCGAGCTGATCAGGGTTCCAGGAGTTTCGCGTTGAGGACTTGGGGTGGATGAGGTCGCTGAAGATCTCATGACCTTGTGGCTGTGGCCTCAATGTGTTTCGTTGGAACGACTGCATCTTTATCCAGGCAGTCTGAAGCTTCCCAGTCTACATGGGAAGTTGTGACATTCTTATCTGCTGGAAGCAAGCGCAGAGCAAATGCGAAAAACCTAAACAACCTTTGCAAACAACCTTGGCGATTTTATGAAGATGGAGTTTTGCTACTTCAAGCTTGCTATATGCATATACACGAAATACAGGTTATACATACATACATGTATAGAGTGAAGCTAATAAGTATAAACAATGGCTCTAGACGTCTTCTAGACATGTAAACGCCATGCAGTCCAGAGCTCCCATGTGAGCTATACTCTTAACTCCTTAAAGCGGATTATATAGGGGACTATATAGGGGAGCATTGTATAGCTTTTAAGTGGGATACTAGGAGTTTAGACAATTGCTCACATAGCCTTGAAATGTGGCTCAAGCTCAGGCGGCTTTGGAGTTCGATCTCCGCCGCGTGGAGGGAAGGGCTCAGGAGATTAGCCGGGTTCTGTTTCCTTAAGGGTCCAAGTACCCAAGAATTAAGTACTTATGACCTTGGGCAAGGGTAAGTGTAGTACGTAGGGGCCCAAGTACCCAATATCTAAGTACTGCTTATGATTTGGGTAAGAGTGATTCTAGTACTGATTTCATGGCTATCAGGTACTCCAAACCCTAAACCCTAAATCCTAAGCCCTAAACCCTAAACCCTAAACCCTAAAACCCCAAACCCTAAACCCTAAAACCCTAAACCCTAAATCCTAAACTTTGGGTTGATCCTTCAGTTTACTGGAATCCTGTGGCTCCACAGGAGATGTCTACCCGACTGCAGCTTTGCCAAGAGGAGCCGGGATCCTGGCTCTCAGAAGGGTTTAGGGTTTAGGGACAAATGTTAGGATAATGGAAAAGAAAATGGAAACTACTTCTAGTTTAGGGCTTAGGATTTAGGGATAATGGAAAAGCAAATGGAAACTATTTCTATTTTGAGGTTATATTGGGATAAGGGCAGACAAATGTTAGGATAATGGAAAAGAAAATGGAAACTACAGGGATTGTAATGGGATTATATTGGGATTATATAGGTTTATATAGGGATTATAGGATATTAGGATTATGTTAGGATAATGGAAAAGAACATGGAAACTTCTTTTAGTTTAGGGCTTGGGGTTTAGGGATAATGGAAAAGAAAATGGAAACTATTTCTATGTTGAGGTTATAATGGGATAAGGGCAGACAAATGTTAGGATAATGGAAAAGAAAATGGAAACTACAGGGATTGTAATGGGATTATATTGGGATTATATAGGGCTTATATAGGGATTATAGGATATTAGGATTATGTTAGGATAATGGAAAAGAAAATGGAAACTGCAGGGGGTTTAGAAACTACCAGGATTATATTGGGATTATATTGGGGTCATAGAAAGGAATATATGGGGTTATATTGTGGTCATATTGAATATAGGGATAATGGAAAAGAAAATGGAAACTACTTTTAAATTGGGTAGTAGTTAAGGATTTAGGGTTAATGGAACAGAAAATGGAAACTACAGGGGTTATAGGGGTTCTTATTTAGGGGTTATATAGGGTTATATAGGGATAATGGAAAAGAAAATGGAAACTACAGGGATTGTAGGGGTTCTTGTTTGGGTTTTAGTGTTTTTAGGGGTTTAGGGTTTTAGGGGTTTAGAGGTTTCCGGGTTTTAGGGCTTTAGCGGTTTTAGGTGTTTAAGGGTTTTGGGGGTTTTAGGGTTTTAGGGGTTTAGGGTTTTAGGATGTAGGGTTTAGGGTTCAAAGGAGAAGAAAATGGACATTACACTTATATTGGGTAGTAGTTTACGGTTTAGGGTGTAGGGCTTAGGGTTTAGGGTTTAGGGATAATGGAAGAGAAAACGGAAACTAGTATAATGAGGCTATATAGGACTTGGGGTTTAGGTTATATTGGGATAATGGAAAATGAAATGGAAACTACGTTGATAATCCTACATCACGACGAGCTGCCCGCCAGAGACGCCTTTGAGAATCGTTGTGCTTGCGCTTGGTATTGTTACACTCCCGGAAACTAACATGGAAACCCAAAAAAGGCCCAATAAAGATTACAGTCCTTTTAAAAGGGTACTACATGGGTTTCCATGTTAGTTTGGGGGAGTGCAGTTTTGACACCAGAAAAAGCAGCAGCGGCTGTGATGGCGGTGGTGCCGGTGGTGGTGCTGGTGCTGCTCCTGCCAGGCTCGTTCAGTCATCTGCCAGAGAGTAGTATTTTATTTGGGGATACGCTGGTACCCAATATAGAGTAAGATTATATCCTCTTTTTGGGGTGTAGTATTTTATTTAAGGAATATTATCTTACTGGGTTCAACCACAAAAAAACACTACTCAAGAGGTGCTTTGAATGATTCATCTCAGCTGCAAAGCCCCACATCGTTCATGCCGTCAAGGCTGTCATTGGTAGTGTTTCTACCAGCTTGAGTACAGCAACTACGTGTTTAATGAAGATCCTCACAGCTTTATGGCTGATCTGATTTCACGCAAATCCGACAAATTTGTAAGCCACCGTGCCGGCATCTCGTGGCATGCCACTTCAGCCTGACCAAGCCCAGCGGGCCTGAATCCCAGACAAGCACAGCACAAGGCTGTCTGTTCTCTGATTCCGCAGTCCACTTCCCTCTCCTGAAGCCTCAAAGCCCTTAGGATCCTCAAGCTCCTAATCCCCAAAAGCCTTGCGTTCACATTCTTCTGACAAGTTATCAAACCCCCCATGAGCTAGATTGGTGTGTTTTTTTGCATCTGGACACTGGGCCACTTTCCACGAAACCCCCAACGTCTTCAACCTGTAAACCCTCCATCCAAAATTTGCGGACCTCAACCGCAAACCCCCCAACCCTGAACACTAAGTCCTACACCCCGGATGAGAATCCCTAGGGCCCTACACTAGAAGCCCTGTAAAGCCCTAGAGCAGCCACATGGTAGTTTACCTCAAATACTGATTACAATCCGTACTATGCTTATTGTGGGGACCTGCAGGGTACCCCAAATTTTTGGCAACCCTACATGAAAGAAAGCCCTAAGCCCCTAAAGCCCTAAAGCCTCAAGCCCTTAACCTTGCACCATTAAAACCTAGACCATCCTTACTAGACCTCTACCCAAGGCTGAAAGCTAAGCGCGACCAGCTCGCTGCTGTGGAGGCGAGCATTGCAGAACTGCCTGCATCTGCGAATGAGTAGTAGTGCATATACAGGGATTATCTGGGAAAATAATAATGGAAAAGCACATGGACAATGAAATAGCAACTACTACTCTTATGGCTTGAGGAATTTGAGGATACTATAGTCCACAATTACGGACCAAGAATACCAATCTTCCGTTTGGGAAACCCTAAACCCTAATAGTTTGCAAGAAGAACTTAGTCTGGTTTGGTCCGCTGCTCACACGAGCTACTGTCCAGGCTTCCGTTGCCATGGGAATACCTGGGTTGGACATACCTGCCTTTTGTAATTTGATGCCTTTTGTAATTTGATGTAAGCCCCGGATGTTCTCTCCATGCCGTTTGGCTATGAACATGCATTTGACTGTAGGTTTTTATATAGGTATACTGATTTGAATAGCGGCCACTCTCCGTTTAATGTTCGTTAGCGAGAAGCCAGGATTTGAGCTTCAGGGTTCAGAGCTTCAGATTGTGTAGGTCCAGGCGGATCAGGCTAGCATCGGTGCTGTTTGTGAGGACAAGTGCAGTTCTTGCTCTTCTAGCAGGATGAGCAAGCCAAGACGATATGTGTGCAACATGCGCCCGTACAGCAAGTATCAGTCAGAATGTGATGAATGAAGCAACGCGTGACATCCATCGCATTATCTCCAAGGCGTTGGCTTCCGTGAGGTCTCAGGGTTTCGCGTGCAAGGATTATTAGGGTTGATGAGGATCACCCAGCTGTCTCCATTGCTCGCAGACACTGATTTTTTCAAAGTTCCAGGCCGTATTCCCTACAGGACCTACTGAACCCGAATAGTTTTCTCTAATAACTTTCCTATTTGCCCATGACTCCTGCTCTCATAGTACTCAACTCATGAGCTAGTTTAAGCAACAAGGGAGGGCATTATACACATACGAACATGTATGCCTGTGTATATCCATGTGCAGATGTATACAGAGAAGCACATCGGTATTTGCATGTTACACACATGTATATACTACATATATATATATATATGGCATACATATATATATATATATGAAGATATTAACGGCTGTGATATTATACTCATCATCCTCATAATAGCCAGAAAATGATGCAAACATGGCATATCACATGATGATACGATACAACAAAATCTTGTTTCCACACATATTTATGGCACCTAAAGCTTTGTGCGGCCGTCGCGGAGGCTTCCTTGGCCACTGTGCAGCCCGAGGCCCAGCGCCTTGCAACAGAAGAGGCTGGGGGTCCTTGAGGTTTTTTTGTTGGGTTGACGGTGTAGGGCCTAGGCTTAGGGTTTGTAAGAAAGGCCCGAAGGGACCTGGGGATATAGAGGGGACCGCTTCTCAAAAAGGGGGACCTTGAGGTTTAGGGCGTAGATGGTGGGGTTGTAGGGCTTACACTTTCACAAAGGCGATTCCAAGGAACGTTAGTTGGGGATGTATAATCCAGACCCATGATTCGTAAACCCCTCCCCTTAAGAGGGAGTATAGTAGGCATCCTAGTATTAAGGCCCTTGAAAGGAGGGGGTTTATTAACCATGGGTCTGCATTAGCGGGGAGCTTTTTAGACAACAGTCGCCCTAAAGGCTTCTAGTTATTTACGCTTTGGGCGCAGGGGGTTGGGTCAGGGTTGAGGTGGCTGGCGCGTGGTCACTTGGAGCGCTTGTGGAACTAGAACCCTTTATGATTGTAGTTCTAGCCAAGTAAGCATACTACAGTAGGGCTCTGAGGGGGCTTGACTGGCTTACCTTCGCTTACAAGTACGCTTATTTATTGGTTTGGAGCCTCCGTATTTGGGAGTGGCATGAGAAGTAGAATATGGTCCCCCTTTGAGGATTATGCATTAACTGTTTGGGGGAACCCGGGTTCCTGAAAACAGTCTCTCTCCACATACTTACTGAGGGGAGCCGTATTATTTCCCTATTCCCGCATGCCTGGTATACAACGTGGAACAATCCCATATTGTGACAATGCTTCTCTCCTTCTGCACAGTAGGGATGCGGAAATGGAGTATGGGCATGTTAGTATAACAAGAATCCTTATGAACCTACATTGTTATTATCATTATCATTGTGATTCTTGAACTACTTTAAACTCTTCTTATGGGTTACTTTGAGGATCCAGTCCCCCATTCCTTTTCGAGCGCATGGTAGGCAACCACAATGCAGAGCATCATTATGAGAGTCTAGGTACTCACCCCCATTCTTTGGGGGGGGTCTCCTTAAGGGTTGCTGGGGAGCCTAGGAGTAATAGTGTGATTGAAACGGAATGTTTTTTATACAGAGCCCTTGCCCACGATTAGGGGCCATGTATCCCCAACTGGCCTATGGTCTAAACTACTTAGTAGGGGACTAGATAGGGGAGTATTCTATATGTTATTCAGGGGATACTAGGAATTTCGACCCTAAACCCTGAACCCTGGTGTTGTTAAGGGGTATGCTAGGAGTTAAGACTATAGCTTGTACGTCCCCGATTATAAGGCTTCTAGGAGGGTCCTCCCTAAACCCTAAGCCCGAAACCCCAAACCCTAAACCTTAAACCCCAAACTCTAGACCCAAAACCGTCCGCATGGTGCTTTTGCATCTGTGCAGGGTTCAGTTTGCAGGCACCGATGATTGTTGTCCATTATCCATTGGGATGGTGGCTGAGGGGTCGTGTGCGCACTGATGGTTGACGTTGCGAGTAAGTGACTGGTGGTAAGGGCCGACTCACGTTTCAGGGCCGTGTCTTGGACTTTTCTACAGGACCCTCGGGCTGTGGAGAAAAGGTCCCATAAAGAAAAAAACAAACTAAACACCAAAACCCCAAAAACCCCAAACCCGAAACCCCAAACCCCCAAACCCCAAACCCTAAGCCCTAAACCCTGAACCCTAAACTACAGGGCCGGGCCAGCTTCAAATCGTAACAGGCTCGCCTCCGCGACGAGCAGCGACGCATCGAGGCCAGATGAGAAGCGATCAGATGATACTGTTCATAGTACATCGAGATATACTACAGTATATTTCTAGGTACCCCAGTTGAACCCTTTTTCCCTTTGTATTTGGGGGTCTCCTCATTAAAGCTGAATATGCAGAAAGAGGGTACCCTTATTATTAAGGGGTTACTGGGGAACCTCGATTTTTTGTAGATCATAGCAGATTATAATATTCTACAGTATAGTCAGGTATACCAGAAGCCCGGAACCCTAAACCCTAAACTCTTGACAAGGGAGCAGATGATACTCTTAATGCTGCGGCTCCTCCATGACCTCAATAGGCAGAAAACACCACTTTCCTCAAAGTACAAGTACCTAGGGTCATGACGGTCATGCGTCATGCAGCACGTTTCATATCAACCCTGATGCTTGGGTGTGTGGAAGGCCACTGGACTTTGGTTGGCAATCCTGTCTGGTTTCCTTGTTACCATTTAAGTAGTACTTTACTTGGGGATACTATGGTACCCAATATAGAGTAAGATTATTTCCTCGTTTCAGGGTATAGTACTTAATATATGGAAGAGAATCTTACTAGGTTTAACCACCAAAACAAACACTACTCATTTAACAGTAAGAAATCAGCACACGAATACACAGCCGAAAGGGTGCTGAGGAGACTACAGTCATAAAGCCCCAACGCCTGACTTCCATCCTGCGTTTCTTTGCATATAATATACTCTAATATAGTAGAATATGTTTACCATCTCTCATATAATGCCCTGGTAGTTTGAGTATTACAGTTTATGATCATGTACTATAGTAGAATAAGGTAGGTATATTTAGGTAGAATGTTCTGCAGTGCACGAAGCATGTTGACAGGCAAGGGTTTCTGAGGCCGTGGTGCGAGCCTGAGTGAAATGAAGCCTTTCATAGGTTTTGGGTTTTTGGTCTACGGTCCATGCGCTTTTCCATTTGATTTTCCATTAGTGGTAGTACCATCATAGCCGTATTGTTGAATTTGATTCCACGCCCCCCCCAGAATTGGGGGGCCTCACATGCAGCTCTGCTTGGAGTCCAGTTCCCAAAGCTACGAAAGGCGGGAGGACTTGAGGGCTTTCTGGCTGATGGGTTCATTTTAGCCGCTTTTGTGCGTACGTTTGCGAGAGGAGGGTTTGCGAAGAGCATCAAGCCAACAGTCGAATGCAAGGCCATTGTAGTCATAGACCCTAAACCCCAAACCCTGCACAAACTTGCAGCAATCCCAAGTCCTCACCCCAGACCTCAGACCCAAATCTTCAAGTCCTGATGCCCCACTTAGATAAACATTGGAGTTCAGTAACGTGCCACCGCACCTTAATTAATATGCCCAATGTAACTGATAGCCCTGAGGCTTGATAGTTGGTCCTCAAACTGCTTAATGAACCCCAGGCTGTATATACCCCCTACAATCCTTGTAGTTTTCATTTTCTTTCCATTATCCCCAATAACACCCAATACAACCCCAATACATTATCCCCAGTAACACCCAGTACAACCCCAAGACTACAGTAGTTTGAAACTCTAAACCCTAAATGGGAATCCGACTAAGGCTGGCCACTTCGCACACCTAAGTCGTGCCATGGGCGTGGAGGATGTCCGAAAGTTGGAGCGTGACTTTCACTGTCACGTAGGGTAGGGTCTAGGATTTGGCTGGGTTTAGGTTTAGGGGGTTAAGGTTTAGGGGGTTCAAGGTTTAGGGGGTGTAGGGGTTGGGGGTTTTAGGGTTTAGGGGGTTTAGGGGGTTTAGGGTTTATAGAGTTTTCCTGGTTTAGGATTTGGGTGTAGGGTTTAGGGTCTAGGGGGCTTAGGGTTCTGAGGTTTAGGGTCTACAGTTTGGGGGGTTTGAGGGTTTGAGGGTCTTGGGTTTGGGAGGTTCAGGGTTTAGGGTGCAAGCCGGAAGTGCCTGCAGAGTGTCATACGGTTGGTGTCCAGCGCAGCCCTCGCAAATTGCAAGCCAGCCTTAATTATTACTACTATTACTGTTATATTATATTGTTATTATTACCATTATTACTACTATTGGCAGTGTTAGACCGTATAGGTCCATGGAATAAAGGCAGAAGCCTTGTCAGCGCAAAGTCTCGAGTGGTGATGTTTCCGAACGGTGATACTTCCGTGCAATGATTGCAGTAGCCGGAGTATGCGCAGGCTCCCACATGAAGCTGTAACTACAACCCGTGTACAACCTTCTCTACGATTGCTCTAGGACCTCAGTCACGAACACCTTGAACTTCAAACCCTAAATCCCGAAACCCCTAAAACGTCAAACCCCGGAACTCTAAACCCTAAACCCTAAATAGTAGTTTCTATCTTCCTTTTCATTATCCCCATATGACTCCCAGCGTGTGTTCCCAGGCGAGTGGAGGCGCGAGCAAGAGGTTGTCGCACAGCAGGTGTCTGAATTGGAGCGGCGGCTGCGCAACATCAAGGCAAGGCGTTTAGGGTTTAGGGTTCCAGGTTTAGGGTTTAGGGTAGTGCGTTCCCGAGAGTGCCCAGGGAGACCAATATCCCTTAAGGAGTATACCTTAAAACTTATTCAGGATCCTAGCGTTAGTAAAGATATATTTATATATATATAAATAAAAGTATATACAGATGTAAGTATATATACAAGCATATATATATATACACATATATGTTGCTCAAGTAAAAGCACCTTGCGCTATCTATCCGGTTTGTAGTTTGGGGACGAGGGGGCAGGGTTTAGGAGTTTAGGATCGGGATTTCGGGTTCAGCGTTCAATATTCAAGGTGTTCAGCATTCAATAGAGCTTACTGTTCACCTCATAATGAGAACCCCCCTCCCCACCCCTCTAAAGGTTGTGGGCGCCAGCCTCCGCGATTAAGGGTATCCGGGTCCATGAGCTGGAGCTCCAGTCGTCGTAGCCAAAAGCCAAACAAGGAGTACTAGCCAGTAGTACACATTGCTCTTCCAGCGCTTCCCAATTTTGGCGCTTTGGTAGATTGGATTTTGCAATTACCCGGGAGGGTGGGGGGGTTGTAATTAGGTTCTGGGATTTGGCTTTTGCAGTTACGCGGGGGTTCATTAATATGAGGTCAACATTTGGGCGAAAGTTTCCAGGATTTATTCAATTGAAACCGTGACCCAAGCCCTAAGCCCCTAAAGCCTTAACCCCTAAAACCTTAAACCCCAAACCCGTAACCCCAACCTCAACCCTGAACCCCACCCTAAACCCCAACCCTAAACCCTAAAGCCCAAACCCTAAACCTTGTGGTTTGGGTGTTGGGGGGGCAGAGGGGTTAGCTTGAGGATGATTTGGATGAGGGGCTGCACTGGGAAAGCGCTTAACTGGTTGTAAGTAGGGAATGAGAAAATAGATTAAAAACATATAGTCCCCTTTACGTAGATAGAATATGTGGTATATGGGGATCGTATTATAGTATACCCAAAGCCATATTCTAACTACTTAAGGGGGACTATGTGTATATATATGTATATACACCGGGGTTAGGGTTTAGGGTATGGGATTAGAAAATATAATCTCTAGAAAACCCCTATGTAATGTAGTCCCCTATTCCTACTGCAAAAGTAGGAGTGAGTCGGGTAGAGTTGACCCTAAACCCTAAACCCCATAGACCTTGAAGGTCCCCGAATTATGCCCCGAGAGGACTTTGAATTGCAGTTGCGGTCGAGTAAGCTAGAGTCATATTGGGATAATTGAAAAACAATGGAAACGATTATAGTGTAAGCAGGAGGAGGAAGATGACGAGGGGGGAGTTCAGATAGCCATGGTGCAAGTATGCTCGCTAGTGGACTTCCATGCAGATTGGGTTGTTAGCGGTGTGTGGCATATGTGGGAAGAGAAGGCGGAGAATTGTTCACCAGCTTTGGAGCTCTTTCCACTGAGTGGAGATGTATGTCTGAAAGATTTGGCGCCTTATCCCCCTAGAACTCCTTTTCAAGCTACAGTATATATATATATAAGACAACCCCTCCAGCCTTATGCTTATGATATCGGCTCCAACATTGTCTGCAGGCTGAGATTTCCATGCTCGACCAGACCATCCACGAGCAGGCGACCAAAGATCCCCAGGAGCTGATCGCGAAGTTCAACGCCGAGGCAGATCTGCTGATTGGCGCTTTAGGCTAAAACCCCAGGTATACCTAGGGTCTTATTGAGGGTTTTATTGGGGTTCTATTGGGGTATATTGGGATAATGGAAAATAAAACGGAAACTACTACTTAGGGCTTAGGCTTTGGGGAAAATATCCCAATAATGAAGAATCAAATGGAAAAGAAAGTGGAAAACGAAATGGAAACTGGGTTTGGGAGCTCCAGTAAGTTATGAGGGGAGTATCCAGGGACAAGGATGATTATAGGGATCCAGTCCTCATTTTAAGTTAAGCAGCTGGAATAAGTCTGTTGGGCATTGCTCCCACTCCCCTCTTTTTGCAGGCAGGAACGCCTCACAAGGGGCTTATAGGTGACTGTGATAGGGTGCCGAGGCATCTGCCCGCACTCGAACAAATAGACGCGTGGGTTTCTTGAAGTGATCCCTGTGCTATGTTTATGGGGCAACTGCATGATAGCCCTGCCTTGAGGAACCTTCACAGAGCATTCTTGGAAGGACTGGTGGTCCCTTGAAATGAGTGTCTCTTGCATAGGGGCATATGTAGAGATCCTGCCTATGATATGTAGAGACTGTGTCGGGCTATCTAGGGTAGCAGATAAGGACACACACCACCAGCCAAATGAGCGCACGAGTGTCCAGAATGGGTGTGCGCCGGGTCGAAGCCCCCATGCCATATCCAGTACTGTTGGTTGCGTCCACGGAACTCTTTGCGTTTCACCAGTAGATGCAGCTGCTACTGAGCAAGAGTTTGTGAATTTGCTAACTGGATCGATCCACGGAGTAGTTGATTGCAGAAGGCCTTTTTTTGTAGGCAGTCGCCTGTATTCCAGGTATGTGGGAGTGCCTCAGTATGATGGGCCCTGCTCCAGGGCTCCGCTTTGAGGGAGCCCCATCATGAACCCCAAATACTATAGACTTTCATATAGGGATCCCCAAGCAGGAGCCCGTGATTTGGTTTCAGGGCTTAGGCCTTGTCATAGGGATCCCCCAAGCAGGAACCCATAACTTAGGGTTTAGAGTTGAAACCTTATTCTCGGCATCCCTAGCCGGAACCCACAATTTCGGAAACCTTCATGTCATGATCGAACCCACCGACCAGCACGAGTTGACTCCGCTGGCCGTCAGGTGACTGAGCTCCGCAAGAAGGACGCGGGGAGATGGGGATCAGGATTTAGGATTCAGGGGCAGGGGACCAACACTGCGTAGGTTATCAATGCCCAGAGAATCTGAATTTTAGAAGCTCCACGCCTGCATTGCACCCCATGACTACTTTTGCAATGAGTTCGACAGGAGATGGCGCCCTGTTCCGCTCCGGATGGCCGTAATGACAAGGGGATAGGATTCCTAACTTCCATGTCACGTTCGATATTCTTGTCACTCTCCTATACAACCCCTATATAGCCCTTATATAACCTTTGTTTCACCTTTTATAACCAAGGCATGGCTCTGAAACTTGAGCCATCTGCAGTCCAAAGGCTTGTTTATAGGGCTTAGGGATACATAAGGTCAATAGGCGGCGCAGGGATAATGCACAAGCAAATGGAAGAATAAGAAATGACATGGACACTAGCATGGATTGTTATTGTCCCCAGATGGTAGTTATGGCCATGTTGAGTGCAGGATTCATTCTTTGTGCCGATGTTCCTACTGATGTATGAATGAGAGCCAGGTTTTTTTTGCTTGCGTATTCCTAGCGTGTAGTTAGTGCCCTGACAATATCTATATATTAGTCCCTAGTGCGATAACAGGATATGATTCCGCATCTCCCTCGCAAAACTATCCTGCGCAATCGAGACACCACAATCAGTATTGCTGCTATATTTATTCTAAAGGCAAGTGTCCATTTCATGTTTATGTTCTTCTCCATTTGATTGTCTATTGGCTCCCTAATCCTTATTCGTCCCTGTACAAAACAGGGTTTTAAATTCTGTTTTCTGGTGCCTGCATATGCATGGTTCCGTAGATAACCTTAGAACCCCAAACCCTAGAACCTTAGAACCCTAAAACCGTAAACCCTACACCCTAAACCCTAAATAGTAGTTTCCATTTTCTTTGCCATTAGCCCTATATATCACCATTTGTAGCAAAGCAATCCCTTTTTGTGACCAGCCGCGAAGCGGAGCCTGGAACCCTAC